TACTGAGAATGTTGTAAACCTAAGATTTGATTCTGCCAGTGAGATGCGTGATGACAGAAGGAGAAGTTGCAGGGAGTGAATGTTGGATCAAACGGAGTTCAAGGTGGTATTAATTAATGAACAGAATATACAAAAAAATGGACCCACTACTGCCAAAATTGGTGTCACATTTCATCCACCTTCGCAGTACGCATTTAAAGTATTTATGGAACACGTGAACTGGCTTACACAGTGCCGGAAGTACTGTGACGTTGGCACGCAAACAGCAAATTTTTTGGGATTGGTTTACAGTACTGACGCACATGGCGAAGAGAGGTGTGAGCGGACAAACACGGAAGAGCTCTGCAGTATGGCAAACATAACTGAAGCACCGCCCCAATGAGCACCTAAATCTACCCAAAGGACATAATTGAGGCTCATGTTTAAGGTGGTGGTTTTTACTATTCTTCTACTTTATTGTGGGACGAGGCTCCTGGATCTCCTCTTCCCTGGTTCTTATACTCTCAGAACACCCAATTTTATTCGACTTTGACATGTTTATTAGGATAAGTAAATGTGGAAAGCAAGTACAAGTGTGGGGGGGTGTGGACACGGAGCCTTTCTCCGGGTTGCAGGAAGTTGACGCCTTAGTCACGAGTTTCGATTCCCTACATTAAAACAACACCATACTACTAATTACTAGGTCCGTTGTTAAGGCTGTCAGTGTCGCATCGTAAGATGTGAGGATAATTGTCAGGTAAGAAAATTTACTGCGTATACAAGTGCGGACCTTGAAGTGGGTGAATAATATTGTCAGAGGCACGGACACCTACTGTGGGATTGAAAATGTGACGGTAGTATGGAAGTCTTATTCATTTCTGCAATGACCTTGAAACCTAAGAGGCATTGGAGAATAGTAACAAAACTATATAAATAGGTCCTATCCATTCCAAATGCATTCGGATGTGATTTCATCACTGGCTTTATCAATGTGGGTTTTAAATGGATGCATTTGGTTCCCAGTTTGTTGTCGCATTACCATATTCCCACATCAGAGGATGCATTTTTTGCTCTTGGCACACCATAATGCCACATGAATGTACTTTTACCAAGCAGGTAAATGTGTAATAGCAACTGCTATTATTCTATAAAAAACGTATTTTCATTTTCCCCACCAGAGGTGCAATTTGAATCCTTCACTTTTTTTTCTGCATCACTTTTAACAATCGGTGGCGTCCTAGTGCCACGGGGTTGGCATGGTCCTTGTTCTACTTTGCAACTAAGTAAGGGACATTAGCTACCTGCCATCACTTGTCCTGCTTTTCGACTCGCCAACCTGTGGATACATTGGGAGCTATACCAGTTTTAAGGCGGGAAATCTGCAAAAAAAGACCTTGAAAGTGGTAATTGCGTAGCGTTTGGGAGATTTTTAAGGCATTTTAGTTAATTTATCATAACCTTTATTTTACTAAAAGTCTTTGAGGCCTCTAAAGTCGTGAATAAGAAACTATTTTCTAGGCATTTGTTTGGAAATCAAATACTTGTCTTTGGAGAAATTGCTACTTTCAAAGGTCAAGGTTGACTTAAGGTTGCATTACTTATCTACCTAAAGAAGAACTTAATAAAAAGCTAAATAAACAGTGGATTCTCAGATAGCTAGGAAATTTATAATTCTCTTTTTTACCGGAGTAGAAGAGTTGATAGAAAGGTAATATAGTAATTTACTTTTTATGTTAGAGTTGGATAAATACAAAACTTGTGCCTTGTCTCCACGTCACTTTTGGGGGGTGCCAATATTGCAACTTTCTTGTTTCAAGACGTTTTCAGTCAACAATCCTTGTGTTAGGTGTAACCATTTACGATTTTATAAAGCATACCGTCCATTAATTCGCCGATGAATGAACGATTAACATAAACATGTTACTTGCTAATAATAAGTAACATGAAGCTTTGTGCCAAAATTTAACAGGGTATGCTACTTTTCATCCTGTAGCTCCTTGAATTTGAGCGAGATCAGTAATATCAGGGAGACATTTTGAAACGTTGATGACACTATGGGAGCGATGATACATGCAAGAACATATTCAACTTACAGACTTTAGTAAAAAAAGCTAAATATAACCTTCCTCTGAGTTCACTTTATTCAAAATAGGTGGTATCCTTAAAACTAAGGCTTACCAAATTTGCAAGATGTAATTATTTTGATTTAGCAAAGCAATTACATCAGTAAAATAATTCATGACTTGATGATGGCTACACATTTTCCTTAACTAAGGTGTGTCAACATTGAAATTTTAGGCTTAGGCTATTTTGAATGTAGGGAATGATGATTAGTGGCCCGGATCAGTGGATCAAGAAACACCTCTTCAAAATCAACGATGAGAGAATTTATTGTAGAATATGATAAAACGTGGACATGAGCATAACTGAATCATATTTTCTACTCCCCTTCATCCATCAACCTTTTGACATAATCTCTTAAAGCCGATCGAGCTTTTGTCCTGGCCAAAAGGAAGAAATCTTTCAGCTCCTTGCAAATAGAAGCCAATTTTTGCCCCATTGGATCACTTGCAAAGAATTCTTTTAATTCGGCTACACTTTTCATGACACCCTTCTTCGCTTTCGAATCGATGTCATCTTCCCTGGAAAAAGGGTAAGTGAGAAATTTAAGTGTATTGGCACACAATGGGAGGTTATAATGCAACTTACGCCACAGCGATGGCCACGAAGGCTACGAGAGCCAGAGCGAGAACAATGTAGAACTTCATTGTGTTTTCTCCCCCAAAAAAGTCACACTCAAGGGCGACAGAGAACTAGCTTATATGCACGTTATCCACTTCCTGTTAAGTCTATGTCACATAAACATGCTCACCAGAGCTGTCCAAGCGGTTTGAACGAATTTGTCGTAGTTCTGTAACTAAATAAGAATATTGGAATACTTAAATCGAAAAGTGTTTCACCTTGTTAGTTTTTCATGAATCTATTCTTCCACACTACTTAACACCTATGTAATGCGCTGGTTTTAACCCCTGGTTTTGGTAAAGGGACACTGCGTCTCCGCCATTGTACCCCTCTGGGTGGGTTGAAGTCGGAGCCGTGGCAGCAGCTCCGATGCCAACTAGAATCCTCTAAACGTTTTTATTGGTGGCCAGCGTTCCTACATCTAGCCCTGTACATGCGTGATGGTCAGCACGATTTCTCGTCTTCTAAACCAGCTTTTCACACAGGACGAAACTGCCAATTCAATAAAATTGCCAAGAAGGGTCAATGACTTCGCGGTCAGGTATCCTCCCAGTTGATTAGAAATTTGATGGCTAGCACGATGGGCCCGTGAGTGTTTCCTTACAGCACTGATTACATTGTGATGGCTGCCGCTAGAGGTTAGGGAAGAAGAGCGCGGTGGACGGTGCTCAAAAGAGGAGAAGGACTATGTAATGCGTCAATTTTTTAACTCTCGGTCTCAGTAAAGGGCCATTGTGCCTTTGTCGGGCGGGCTAGTCTCCGGACACAAGACCTACCTAAAGGAAGTCTTGCAGCGCTCCATGCAAAAAACTGCATTTTGTAAAGACTCTTCAAATTCCCCTCGCCGTAGATGAAACTACTTTGCAAATAAATCCAAACAAAATTCATGAGGCGCAACTCTACTAGCACACATTTCCTTTCGCCTTTTGTGCAAGATCTCGATCCATCATTCATAATTCTGCTATTTTATAACATTTTTCTTAATATGACAAATTCATGAACAGCTTGTCACGTATTTTGCTGTTCTAAATTAACTGGTTTGTGCACACTTTAACGAGTTACTTACCTAAATACTAGTGTGAATTTTTCACCCATCCTAGCCCGATCGACCATGTGTACTAAGTTCGGTCGTACCGGTAACGCAAGACTACCGAATGCGAAATGTTTATCACCTTTCGGAACTTGGCCAAACGAGGACGTGGCCAGTGCCGGCGGAAATCAACAAAGCAAGTGCGATGATTAGTGCATGTTGTTTGGAGTCAAAAACACACGCAATTTGTGCGTTAACGCAAATGCCAATCATGCGGTTATATATAAACAAGCAATAAACAATAGGCGAGACACATTCAAAGGTTATCTACACCCAGGAAGAGGCAAAAAATATGCGAGTATGCAAGATTTATAGGACCAAAGGGTGTTTGTAACTCTTAGCAAGTGGCACAAATCTCTAGTAGTAAAATCGTAGGACGTTTGGGCCCTTATAAAGATTGGCCAGATTTGCTTTGAACAATTGATCTTATCGAGGTGCCAGAAGCTTTGATTGTTGGACATTCAACACCGACTTTTATGTATGTCTTGCGTCTTCTTTTAAAGTCATCTACAATGAACTTCACAAGGGTAGTCAAATACCACAAAAGCCTTTATAAGACAATTATAAACGCCACCTATCGCTACCTATGTCAAAAGATTTCGTTTGCTGGTTTATTTTGAAGACTAGAAGATATCCTGGTGTACCCAAGTGCGGTCATTCTGCTTTTAGGGTGATCGCTTTACAGGTGAAAACCCATTTTGTAAACCGAGGATTTTCTAGGCGCCGTCATAAGTTAAAAAACAAAATAATAATCAAATAAAAACACGCATATATCAACCGAGTGTAGGTTAACTTTCTGATTGGGATGGTTCCTGTTGACTTCTAAAAAGCCTTGTCGACGATACCATCAAACCACTAACAAAATAAAAAACGTGAAGGAATTACTAAAATTACTGTGGATGTGAGTAGCTATGACTATTTGTGAAGAGAGACACGAGTCTGAGATCTAAGCAATGAATTGGGCAAATCATTCTAGACTACTTCATCGCTAAGTGGAAGTAGATCAAAGCTTTGGCTAGGCAATTCAAATGTAAAATAAGTGAATTATTTAATTAAAAAAATC